TTTTGGTCATAGCCCCTGTACCTGACATTGTCTCTAGCAAATCTACACAACATCATCTGAACCGTGTCTGTTGAAGTCCTTCTTTTAAACCAATGTGAGAGTCAAATAATTTGGAAATTTGCTCTAAGAAGCTGCAAGGAAGAAAAAATGGCTCCTTACAGAAGGTGGATGTTTATCTCGCAGCAGAGTGAAATCTGTTGACAGAGCATTTTTAGTCTGCATACTAAACAAAATAGCTACATTTTATAAGGCTTGCAGGATTCAAGCTGGCTTGATGGCTCATTCCAGCTCTGTTAATACCCTGAATTACTTGTAGTGGATCTAATGACACTGTTACACCAGTGTAAAGAAGGGGATAGAGAACAGCAAGCAATATTTTTTTTATTTATTGCTAGTCCAGTAGCAACATAGCAAACAGCTGATGTCTGAAAATAAGGGCTTGGTTATATGGTGAGTCAGTGAATTCGGGTTGATAAGTAGGACTCATTTATTAATTTATGCTGGAAAATAGTTAAGAGTGGAAATGTACAAACAAGGCCCCACACTGCCCAGGAGCCTCTGCTGCTGGCAGGGTTGGCTGGCAGTGACAGAGAGGACAACAAGACCAAGCCTGTTGGGAAACCACCTGATTCACCTGATGTGTGCACACTGGGTGCTCAGCAGCCCCTGCTCCATCCTTCCCAGGCTCTTCTACTGAGCTAAGTGCTAATGTAGGCAGGCTGGAGAATCAAGGGGAAAATTGTTCCTAGATGTCAGGGAGCATTTAGGAGCCTGAATAAAGTACTCTGTGGGGTGGATGCATATCTTTGTAATTGCAAAGCTAGGGATTGTGAAACAGCTCAAATCACATCTTTACGATTTTTGTGGGAACTTCTTAAATGAAAATTGTAGAAAAGCATTGGGTGCTTCCAACAATTGCATCAAATAGAGTCCTGGTGAGGGCAGGTGCAATTCCCATTCAGAGCAAAAGCAGTGGCACGTAGCTAACACTAGCAATGAATTTGAATAGCTGTTCTTTTACTGCCTTCTGTTTTCTGCTTACAGCAGCTAAAGAGTTGTAGTATAGGGGAATTAGGAATGGAGGAGTGCTGATAACAGAGCTTCCTGATCCCTTGAAGCTTGAACATTCAGTGACTTGGAGGAAAATTGAGATTGTGCAGCAAGATACAGGGAAAAAAAGGTTAATCAAGCTCTGAGGTTGAGCTATTGCACTTATCTCTACCTTGCCTGTAGGGTTAGTATGTGCAGCCACTGTGAATTTGTGTGGCTGATAAAAGGCTTTTAACCAGAAACAAAAATTTTTCCCTTATTCTAATTTCAAACCACAGGAACATCCTGGCTTTAATATCAAGGGCTCATGTTCCTGAAGTATCAACATTGTGAAGTCTCATGATGCTACCATGAGTCTAGAAAACCTCCTGTGCTTTTGAGAATGTTATTTTTATTTAAATGAAAGCAAATTGCAGCCTTGTTCACAATGGAGAAAATGTGAAAGTCTTAGGAGATTTATTTAAAATACGTTTCTTAAAGCCTTCTTGTGCTTGGTTTAGGGGTTGTTTCAGTCTCAATACATGATTTTTCACTGAAAAGTTGAAGTATTGAGTGTAGGACAAACCCAGCTGCAGGGCTTTTTCACAACGTTTTGTAATGTGTCTTCATAAGGTTTAACTTTGGATTCATTCACTCTGCAGAAATAAAGTGTAAATATTAAAATTTGCATACGCTTCTCTCTGTTGAAAGATTTGATTCCCACCTCAGGGGAATGTTATAGCAGCTGTAGCATCACAAGTGCTTTAACTCAGTTTACAGCAGACCAAAACCAGACATATATTACATATTACCTGTATTTAATTACATTTGAAATCTGAGAATAGGGATAATCCACAGCAAATTTCAAAATGAGGAGATGGTGATATTTAAGTAAGGGAAGCAATGCTTACTCAAGTGTAGTCTAATAATTACTTAAGCTTTTATGGTTTTGTAGTTTATACAATAAGTATAACAACCAGCTCTTGCCCTTGCCTGGGCCAACTTTTGCTAAGTAAACAATCACATACCATTGCCCTATTTCAAATTCTCTCATGAGCCTAATATGAGAAAGGAAAGTTGGATCTGATCTTAAAACCTGATGCCAATCTTCTGTGGCCCTGTATATTCCCTCCTATGCATGAAGAGAATAAAACCTGATCTGAGAGGTATTTTTAACAATAGAGGTGTGTAATTAGCTGTGCAAAATGCTACATTTTGCCAATATTCTTCATTTTCTCCAAGTCACTTCTCCACACATATAACCTATTGTGGATGTAATAGTCCCAGACTTCCACTGGTGTTTTAGGTATGCAACAGAAGCCACACATGCAGGTGTCTTCCAGTCTGAATGCAAGTGGGCATGAAATCTGTGTTTTAGCTAAAGAAAGGGATGCTTATCTTGTCTGGGAATTATTTAACCACAGGAACCCAGGATGGTTCTCAGTGAGTTTCAGAAAGGACTATCAGCTTGCAGAACTGCAGAGGTGCCTCCCAAATATGTGAAGGTAACTTGCTCAACTCATTCTTGGGGATGTGTCCTCTGAACATTCTGGGAGGGAATGCACAGAATCCACAGTTTCATGCCCTTTAGTGTTTACCCATAAGTTTGGGCAGGTATAGCCTGAATGCTGGACTATTCTTTTTTGAAAACTTGACTTTTCTGCTTGGGGGAGGAAAAGCTGCTGGTAGATCCCTCAACTGGTAAATGGCTGTGCACAGGATAATGGGATAAGGATAGTAAATGCAAAGCTTCTTAAAATGTACTGCATTCATTATCCAAACTAGCAGGACTGTTGTTTCATGATAAAACAAATACTGTATTGCACAGCTTAGGTTTCCTTCTCTGGCAGGAACAGCATTTTGAAATTTAATTAGCTTCATGTGGCACTGTAGAAATGGATGGCAAATCAATAACGGATGCCATTCCAGTCACCTTGTGGTGTTGTAATTCTCTGTGTTTTGCTACACTAATTAGGTCTGCCTTCAGTGAGAAATGTTTCAGGAGCAAGGAGGTGAATTATTGTTGAGTTCCTGGCTGTCACTGGGGAGATGAAGTAATCTCAGAACTGACTAACCTCAGTGACTTCAGGAGCTAGTATCTTAACATCCAAGAGGAAAAGGGAAGATCTCACATTCTCATGGTGCAGTTTACAGTGAATTTTAGGCTCAGTCAGTCCATGGCTTAAGCTTCAGATGAAAAAGCATCAGAAACCATAAACAGCACTTACCTCATAGTTGGCATTTAATTACTTAATTGCTCTTATTTTTACATTCCCCTACAGAGTGAGAGTTTCTTGCAAATAGGTATTTCCTTCCTTTGGATCCAGGGCTCCTCCTCTGAACCCAAGTGAGTTGTGGGTGCAGAGAGGTGCATCTGAGATGGGCCCCAGGTTCTGATGCCTCCCTACTCCCAAAGCCATTGTGAAGGAACAGCTCAGGAAGTAGAATGCAGTTTGCTCCCATGTAGCAAACCCATACACTGTTAACTGGAGCCAACAGCAGCTCCTTGTCCATTTATTTGACTCTGGGGTTTTATTGGGAAACACTGGGTAGAGAGCTGGTGTCTCCCTCTCCAGGAACACGCTGCTTGCTTCTGAAGGTGGAGGAGATGCTTTCCCCCAGAGTGTCTGGACTCTCCAACAGTGTGCTGTCAGCCACATCATAAAGAAAATGGATGGATAAGGAACAGAATCTAGGGAGAGCAAGCACTCTGAGGCCGCTATGTCAGTGTGACGTACCAGCTCCATGCTTTTTTTGGGAAAGCATGTAAACTCCCTCCCTTTATATTAGTGTGAATTATGATTCCAAATAATCATTGCTTCCAACATAAACAGTTTCTAATATAAACCATTCCTGCTGGTTACCACAGACAGCCCGAGCAGCATGGAAAATTTCAGTTGTTACATCACAGTCACCCAGAGAATAGCAGTGGTGATTGAAATTATTTTGCAGTGGTTTGAATAATGCTGAGTGAAAGGTGATACAGAATTATTGCACTTCACAGAGGGCAAACACAAAGCAGACTCAGAGCTGCCTTTCCTTTTACCTGGCCCCTCCTTGTAGGATGTTGGAGCTGACAAACCTACAAATTCGTGTGTGTAATTTCCTAATCATGTCAGTGACTCATCCAGAACCCCTCTCAGCCTTATACATAACTGGGGAAGAGCATGAAAAATGAGAGGATGGCTGATATGGCACAAGAGAATTTACAGATAAAGAATTTGAGTTAACAACTCCAATTAAGTAATGCCTTATTGTGGTGCTTGATAATCTGACAATCAATATAATACAACATACAAGAACATATGTGAATGTGTGTTTACTAGTGTTAATTAATGCATTAACTATCAATTGGCCAACTAATTACACTCTTACTGCTGTTAAGACTTCTGTCCTTAAAAAAATAAAGTAGAATTTCTTAGTCAAAGCTAATCAAATGCATATAATCTTAAATGTACATAATAAAAAATGCATATAATCTTTGTTTCTGCCAAATTCAAGAACTTTAAGTATATCAAATATATTCACTGAATTCACTTGTCATGTACCACCATTTAACAGCTATTCCTGTAATGGCTTTACAGACTGATTAAGTACTCTTAGAGGATGAATAATGCTCTAAGTTCCCTCACGCTTGAATACAAAGGGTGTATTCTCCCATGCCCACAACTTTCAGCAATACTTCTTTGCTGCTGTACCTGCAAATAAAGACCAAGAGAAGCATTTTTTAAGACTATCAAGTTTATTGTCCATCAGAAAGCATATGTAGGGTAGGTTGTTTCTGATCAGGATCTGCTTTCTTTGCTCAGAAATTGCTGGTTAAATTTTAAGGTCAGTTTTATTGTTTAGGTGGTTTAAGGTCTAACAGCATCTCCCAAGTTCATTTGGTAACAGCACACCCCAAAACCAGGAGCCTTGCATTGCTTTTAGAGTAGAAAAGATAGTAATTATAATTGGTTTATTTGTTGCAGCTGCAGAAACTGAAGCGATCCCTCTCCTTCAAGACTAAAAGCTTGCGGAGTAAAAGTGCAGACAATTTCTTCCAGAGGACTAATAGTGATGTGAAACTGCAAGTAGACTTGATGCCTGAGGTGAGCACAAGCACTGGGCAGCTCCCCAACTCAGACAGCCAGGCATCTTCACCCACCAGAGCCCAACAGCTGCCAGAAAACAGCAAGACTCACATCTTCCAGGAGCACATCTTCAAAAAACCAACCTTCTGTGATGTCTGCAACCATATGATTGTTGGTAAGAAGCATTTTGTTTAAAATCTCATGTGTGTCCCTGCTAGAAGCTACAGGATGACCTTTCTCTAATTTCTGTGACTCCAGAAGTCTCCTTGGGAATATTCATGCAAAGAGGTTCTGGATTTGTGTCATATCTGCCACAGACTAACATTTACTGGCAGATGTCTTGCCTTGTAGACACGTACTGTAATCACAAATTACAGGTGAGGGATTCAGCTGGAATCAAACTCTTCTGTCATCCAGGTTATACTGAGCACCAAGCACAAGTTGTATGCTGCACTAGAAGCAGCAGAAATCCATATTGCAAGGGTGTGCACTATCCTCCCTTTTTCCTACAGCAGTAATTTTAACTTTCTTCCTCCTCACGTCTGTCCTCACGCACTGCATCACCCCCAGTTCCCTTTCACTGTGGTGACCATACCTACCTCCCCCAGCTGTCCCACATGTCACTTAAGGGACAAGAAGTAGCATCTGCTGGGTGGTAGGCTCTTATCTGCTTGTGTGGGTGTGGTTGTTGGCTGTCTAGGATGAATATTTTGGGAGACCAGGTCAAAAACCAAATATAACAACTGAATTTACATTGCAGAATTTCTTGGGATTATTCTACCTGATCCCTCCTATGCACAAAACCTCACACTAACTTTATACCTTTGAAAGATAGGCCTATTTGCTCTCTGAAGTGGTCCATGAGTATGTAAGTTCCAGCCAGGGACTGACTGACTGACAGACAGGAGAAAATTTTGCTATTGTCTCTAGTGTGCAGAAAAAACCTCCCTGCTGAGCCCTGCTTGTAAGGTAATTTTCAGTGCAGTGTGAAGACCTAAAAAGCCAGCCTTCATGCAGATCATCCATGGGGCTATGTAAGGAGAGGTCAAAAGAGAAGTGCAAGTGCCTGGAGGTGTAGAACCTGCATGGCTACCACAGTGGGAAGCTGCAGGAGTTGCTATTCAGCAGTCTGATCCTGGAAATTCACATGCTCATGGCTTGTGCTGTGCACATGATTTGGTCTTCCTGCTTACTTACCATCTCCTTGTCCCAGCACAGTAGAGCAGGAGTAAATTCAGTGGCAGTTTACCAATGTGAAAGTGAGTGACACAACTTCCAAGCTTTTAGGCAGGACAGGGAGCTAAATGTGCTAATGATTTAGCTTCATGTAGAAGTAGTAAGGGTCTTTGAGTACAAAATATTGTCTGAAATTTGTATAACTTACTGTCAGGAACTTACATCCCCTGGCATGGAAGTCACTGCCTTTTAGGTAACAGTATGGTAGGCTCTTGAAAGATGCTGATAGGACTAATCAACATTTTTCAAATGAGGGTGCTCAGCGTTCCCCACTTCTGTGAGGAATTTGTGGTCTTTGGAAAAGGCAGCTGTCTACAGAACATTAAAATTGATGCAAGACAATCTTGCTTCCACAAATTAACTTATATTCTCACTTCACCACAGCTGTACTGAATCCAAGGAAACTAAGGAATTTTAATCACTTTTTTTTGGTGTCATTTTTCCAGTCTTTTAAGGTTGTTTTCTACTTGAAGTGGTAAAATAAATTAAAGAGAGAAGCAGTAAAGTATCAGTATCAGGGAAGTTCACAGTCCAGAACTTGACAGGAAGTCTGGAAAAGTAGTTAATTGAAATAACTTTATATATGGGAAAGGCCCAGAAGTTGTCTCCTTCAGTAATGTGGATGGATATTCTATCAAAGCTTATTTTCACAAATATATACTGCAAATATAAGTTCCTTGAATTTCTGGCAGCTTCTTGTGAAGTTGTATGGAGATAAATATCATCACAAATCTGCATGACTCAGCACTAGTGTTTCAAAATAGTGCTGCTCATGACGGATTATTGCTGGCAGCAAACTTTGCAGAGAGTAAATCCAGTTCATAAACATTCCTGCCCTTCTCCTTTGCTGGGCAATCTGTGTCCGCCTGGAATAGGAAAGTCCTGAAGCACAGCTCTAGGCTTCAAAACATCAGCTTTAACCCCCTGTGCTTTCTGAATTTTTTTCTGTTCTCTCTGCTGAGGGCTTTGTTTTTCTGTTCTGTGTCTTAGCCACTTCATTAGCTGAAGAAGCCTCTTATAATTGCTGAAGAAACTAATGTGACCTATTTTGTCTGGTAGCAGTCTGAGTCAGGTGAATTGCTCTGACCTCCTCCAGCTCATCTTTGCTTGGAGGTAAGGCAGAGAAGATGTTGGGAGTTTTACCTTAAGATGCCTTAGACTGTAGATACCCTGATTTTCATAGACAAACATCTTCTCTATTCCTGCCATCTTCTCTTTTTGGTCCTTACTGCATTTGTGCCTGGTTTTGCTGTATTGTTATTTAAGTAGCATGGTAAATCTCGATGTTAACTGTTTGCTGTTCAATTAATCCATATAGGTTGTGCAACTGTGGGTTATAGGAATAGAAAAGCAAAACAGGCAGCTTTCAGAAAGCCCTGTCAAGCCTGCTCCCAAAGACAGACTGAAAAAGTCTCATTTCTGTTCAGGGACTCTGACTGCTTGAAACGTGGAGCCGATTTGTTCTCTCTATTTGCGTTTTTCACAGGCAGTGACATTGAAGAGTAATGAGTCTATGACTTTAAATTCCTCATTGATGAGAATAAAGGCAAAGACAGATACATGTTTTCAAGGCTGGAGGAAGGACTCCAGGAAAATTGTTTCTTGACTTTAGATGGCTTTAATTTTGCCACCAAGAATGATTCCAGGCTCACCTTAAATGGCACTCTGATCCATGAACTAAGCAGCTCTTTTTGGTACACGGCAGCGTAAAGAGCAGCGCACAGCATGAATGTGCAGCGACTGCTTCAGTCTCACTCATGTGGCAGAATCCGTCTGTAGCTTCAGAGTGAGCAGGACACATGGAGCAGAGGCAGCAGGTTCCCTGTGCTGCTCTTTTCACAGCAAAATTAAAGAACTTGAAACATTCATTTACTAGAAAAAAATACGCGCATCATCTCTCTTTGATCCCTGGGCACTAGGAGCCAAATACTGCCCTTGGGATGCAGTGCAATCAATATATATATATATATATATGTATATATATATATATATGAGTAAATTTACTCTTTCAAATGTTTTTCATGCAGCCCAGAGTACAATGCAACATATTCAAAAGAGAATCTGTTTATTGATGTGATTTCAAAAAAGAAAAAAGAGTATTAATAGTGTGCTTCATACCGCGCTTTGAAGGCAGGAGTTGGAGGACTGTTCCTATTAATTGTACTAGACTGAGACTCCAGTTCCACCTCAGTAAACAGAAGAAAAATTTGATACAGAGGCAGTAATTTTCTGTCAAATGAAATAATGGAGGAAATTTCACATTTGAGGGAGCTTTGAAGAGTGCATGCCGAATCCATTTTACATTAATGGGGCCTTCTTATAGCATCTAATTCTCCAATAAAATCATCATTCCTAATAATGAATTCAACAGTAACAATTCACATAATTTCAGAGCAAATCAATAGTGTGTTGGAGCAGACTCTGCACTCCTTTCTCCCACTCACTGTTTTGCTGCTGTGAGTGCCTGGCATCGGTTAGTTTAGGACTGGGGTTTCAGCTGCATGGAGGGCTACATATTTTCCTAAACATATCCACCCTTGAACATCCTCTCGCAGTATGTCTCTTAGAAAACCATTAATTTGCTGGTTTTAGTAGTAGTATTTATTACTATTTTAATATCTAACCCCAGCAAGGGAAAATTTTGAAAATCAAAGTGTCTTGTGGAATGTATTACTAGATCATCATTTAGGAGACACTGGTTTTATGGGGTTTTTACTTTACATCACAGTTAAAAGAAAACCATGTCAGATACCTCAGATACCTTCTTATCTACCATTTTCTGTGATTAACAAGAATGTGGTAAGCTTTGGCAATGGCAAATTAAGGGAGGCAAAAGCACCTAGCACCAGCGAAGATAGATACTGTAAAATTAATGTTGCTTCGGATTATGGTCCTATGTCTTATCTTATTATGTCTTATGGTCTTATGATCAGAAGCAAGTTCTTGCTTTTCTTCAGTCTCTGGTGTGTCATCAATCATCTCTGTGACAATTTACTGTTGAAGAAAACATGATGTCAGTACTCTAGAGTTGTAAAACATTGTGCATTTTCTAAGAAAAACCTCCATCTGTAGAATTCTCAACGTTTTACTCATTTGCAGATCATTTCCTGTGCTGATTCACATGGAAAAAATGTTATTTTCCATATATTCCAAGCATATTACATGCAATTAATGTATTCCCATCAAAGTCAAATAGAAGTAATGAAGCAAAAAGAGAAAGTGCTTTGCTTTTAAAAATATATTACTTTGTAGTCAATCTTTCAAAGCTGTGTTTTAAAGAAATATATCCCTGTTTTTATTGTATCTTTCTTTGTGTTTCCAAAGTATGTGTAACTGTTTCACTCCATTCTTAACCTTAACTATGGCACAAAATTTTAATCAAACACCTGGGTTTTTTTGGCATACCTGTTAGAGCATGTTTGCCTGGAACAAACTTGCAGGAAGGGCAGAAAAAATTGTGGTTTGCAATGTCCAGTAAGTCAAAACCAGGTCCTTCTGGGTCATGCCACCCCTGACATATATGCATTTATAGGTGTTCTCAAGGCAACTGAGTTTCTGGTTTGGATGTAGATTTTCTGAGCCTTTGCAACTCTGGTGGTAAATAACTCAGTATCTGTCCTCTTGGGGAGCTAACCAGATTGCAGTTAGAGAAACCTGTAGAAAACAAATAAGCAAGTAAAAAAGATAAAACCAAGACATGGCTGTAGCATAGCGTCCTTTGAGTCTATTAATCAGTAGCGCTTAAGCAGTGAAGTTGTGTTATCCCTTCAGAATTTTCTCACTCCTACCTCCGTCTGTTCTGGTTTAGCCAGTCATTCTGGAGGTTCAGTCAGCCAAAAAAGTACCATGAATAATTCTTTCTCACTTCATCTTTTAGAAGCAGCCCATATTTCTTTATTTCACTGTGCAGTTGTGGCCGCTAGAAATTTCAACCACTTT